GAGACTGCCACAGGAATGAAATGTGCTGACTTGGTCAGCCTATCAACAATAACCCACACTGCATAGAACTTCCTCTGAGTCTGTGGGTGTCCAACAATGAAGTCTATAGTGATTCACTCCCACTTCCACTCAGGAATCTCAATCTTCTGGAACAAACTACTAGGCCTCTGATGCTCATACTTAATCTGCTGACAATTCAAACACCGAGCCACATATGCAACAATATCCTTCTTCATTCTCCGCCACCAATAATGCTACCACAAATCCTGATACATCTGCGCCCGGATGAATAGAGTACCAGGAGCTTTGGGCCTCCACTAAAATCAACACTCGGAGCCCATCCACATTAGGCGCACAAACTCGACCCTGCAATCTCAAAACTCCATCATCACCTAAGGTAACATGCTTGGCACCTCCGTGATGCACCATGTCTCTAAGGACACACAAATGGGGATCATCATACTGCTGATCATGGATACGCTCCAATAAAGAAGAACGAGCGACCGTGCAAGCTAACACCCGACTAGGCTCAGAAACATCCAGCCTCACGAACTGATTGGCCAAAGCCTTAACATCCAAAGCAAGCGGACTCTCACTGACCGGAATATAAGCAAGACTGCCCATACTGGCTGACTTCCTACTCAAAGCATCGGCCAACACATTGGCCTTTACCGGATGATATAAGATAGTGATATCATAATCTTTCAACAACTCTAACCACCTCCTCTGCCTTAAATTTAACTCCTTTTGCTTGAACAAATACTGAAGACTCTTGTGATTTGTGAACACCTCATATGCCACGCCATATAGATAATGCCTCCAAATCTTCAACGCGTGAACAATGACTGCCAACTCCAAATCATGAACCGAATAGTTCTTCTCATGAATCTTCAACTGCCGCGAAGCATAGACAATGACCTTGCCATCCTGCATCAACACTGCACCGAGTCCAATACGAGATGCATCACAATAGACTGTATAAGGCCCTGGACCTGTGGGCAAAACCAACAACGGTGCCGTAGTTCGGGCTATCTTAAGCTTCTGAAAGCTCGCCTCACACTCGTCTGACCATCGGAACTGGGCACCCTTCTGGGTCAACCTGGTCATCGGGGTTGCGATTGATGAAAACCCCTCCACGAACCAGCGATAGTAGCCTGCCAATCCCAAGAAACTTCGAATCTCTGTAGCTGATGTTGGTCTAGGCCAGTACTTGACTGCCTCAATCTTTTTCGGATAAACCTGAATACCCTCTACTAATACGACATGACCTAGAAATGCAACTGAACTCGACTAGAACTCGCACTTCGAGAATTTAGCATATAACTGACTATCCCTTAGGATCTGAAGAACCGCTCTGAGATGCTGCTCGTTGATCGCAGCCTACTCCACACTACTAAAAAGTAGGAAGAGAGGGTCGCAATAGCTTTTACCTGATTTGTGGGTCGGGATCGATTTCCACAAAGAGCTAGGAATGGAGTCGAGTATCTATTTAGGTTGGAATTGCGTATTTATTCAAAATATCACTTCTAATCCTTTTTTTTATATTCTACTATTATCAAACTACAAATTACAATTGCTACTAGATTAACTACGAATAAATTGCTACAAGTTGTATCTAATAGTTTAAAAAGGCACTAGGGTAGTGGCATCCACCTAGGTGGCCAATTGACGGGTAATTAAACCTAAGGCACGATTGACATGATTGGGAAATATGCTATAACCGTTGCACAATTTTACCCACTCTCACACCTCTCGGTAGAGAGAGTGATTTTGCGCAATTGACTTTCTCAAGACCAATAGGGNACGTATTTGTTCCAAATATCACTTCTAATCCTTTTTGGGTTTTCTTTATATTCTACTATTATCAAACTACAAATTACAATTGCTACTAGATTAACTACGAATAAATTGCTACAAGTTGTATCTAATAGTTTAAAAAGGCACTAGGGTAGTGGCATCCACCTAGGTGGCCAATTGACGGGTAATTAAACCTAAGGCACGATTGACATGATTGGGAAATATGCTATAACCGTTGCACAATTTTACCCACTCTCACACCTCTCGGTAGAGAGAGTGATTTTGCGCAATTGACTTTCTCAAGACCAATAGGGATTTGCTCAAGCAACTGGGGTTCAAGTCGGGTATTACTCTCTCGAGGTTTAACCCTTTAATTGGGACTATCAATTCTCTTGAGTCCATACTAATTCCTTGTTGGGTCCATTTCGGCGACTTAGGCTCTCTTTCTTAAGAAGAACCCAAGTCAACTTAGCACAAACTAGTGTTTGCAACCACTAATTCATAGATTAAACCATGAATTAACCCAAATAACAAACACCTATAGTCAATCTAACCTTAAATCACAACACCCATCAATTACCCACACTAGTGTTGAGCCACAACCCTAGCTAATGGGTCTAGCTACTCATGCTTGAAGAGAAAAATAGAGAAATAGATGAAGATAAAGATATATTAATTAATTGCTAAGGTAAATACAAAGATTCAATGATAAAAACTAAGTAAAAATGCCCAAAATGGCTAAGAAAAGTCTTCTCACAAGCGCAGCTAATGTCTGATAGTATCTGATACCCTAAAAATCGAAAAAGGTTCTATTTATACTAAGTTAGAAAAACTGGACAAAAATGCCCCTGCGGGGTCAGTGCGGACCGCACAAAATGGTGTGCGGCCGCTCTAGGCTCTTAACTCTGCAAATTCAACTCTCTGAACCCAGGCTCCGCGGACCGTACAGAATGGACTGCGGCCGCGGAGGCATCTAGTGCGGTCTGCACAAACATGACCGCGGACCGCACAGGCTTGATCTTCAAAACTTGGCATCTCCCTGAACTTTGGTTCTACGTACCGCACAGACTGGTAGTGCGGCCGCAGTATCTTCAGTGCGGGTTGCACAATATTTACTACGGCCGCACTGCTTTAATGCTTGAAAAACCAACTCTCTGAATCTCCCTAGTACGGACCGCACAAAGTGTAGTGCGGCCGCACTAGGCCTGTTTCTGCTGAGTTTTGCCTTGTCTTTGGTACTTGTACCAGTTTCACTCCTTTTGAGCCGATCTTTGACATCTCGTCACTTTGTTGATCAAACCTGCAATCAAGCACAACTTATGAGCCTTTTGGGACTTTTTGTATGAATTTATAATCAAAGCGTAAGCAAGAAGGAGCATGAAATGCGTTAAAATCCCTAGTTATGAACTCCCCCAAACTTAAGCTTTTGCTTGTCCTCAAGCAAACAAAATAAGACCCACCCCTTAAAGGAAAATCCAAGAATTTTTAGCTATCCTAAAGTAACCTCAACTAGCATCAATTGGGACTAATAATTGCCCTCAATACCAATGAATCATTAACAACATTTAACTTTTGAAAAACCATGGATCAAGTGTGACACAAGAGCATCAAGAGTTGAGTCAATTTCTTTGGTCATTGTGGAACCCAAACTCACACATCCTTAACTCTCCCTAAGCAAATTTCACCTTTTTGAATATTGGCGCACAAACCGAGGTTAATGGAAATTCACTCATCTCTCTCAAGAAAAAGTCGCAAGTTCGGCTCTAAGTACCATATGCTTGCCCCTTATGTAAGTATCCACTAATGTAAGCTTCATTCAACTCAAGATCCTATAGGGCTTTTGTGGAGTCATTGTGAAGGCTTTTGGTTCAGGGTAGGAAATATTTTGATCTAAGTGAGTTCCATCTTCCTTTAAGCACTTCTTTTGATTCATTTGGCATACATTTTCTTGACTCTTTGAGTCATCTCACTTCTTTCTAAGGGGTTAGAGAGACACGCTGTCACTCTTTCTTATGCAATTCAAACCGTTTCTCCTTTTTCACCTTCCACACCTTTCATTTTTTTGCTTTTCTTGAATCCCTTTTTATTCTTTTTCACATTAAGCATTCTTTTTGTCTTTTGATTTTCTTTCTTTTTCATTGCTTTTCCTTTTCTTCATTTTTGTGCCTTTTACCACTTTGTTGCCATCCTCGTCTCTCCCCCCAAACTTATACTTTTGCCATGTACTCAAGGAAAGATCGGGTGCCAAGAGAGGGTATCTTTTAGAACGGGTATAGGCTTGTATCATGGTTCTTGAAAGAAAAAGGTCTAAGGCTCAAAAGGGTTAACTAGGGATCCTATTATTGGTAGGCTATGGAATTTGTTCAAACTATCCTTTGGATCAACGAGAGCCTATAATCACGTGTCAAGTCAAAATTCACTTAGGATTTCGCCTCAACAAATATTCGGGGCAAGTTATATACCAATGGCTCAGGACTTGAATTTGCAATTCAATTTCTCACCACACAAGCTAAAGGATCGCTAAAGACATAGAGTCGGGGGCCCACAACAACCTTAGATACGATTTGAGCACACAATGGTCCTGAAAAACCACTTGATGATTATTAGTCAACACAGGAGTCTCAAGGTCACGACTTTCACCATCCTAAACACAACATTTTGTCTTTGACCATGGGATCAAGGGCAAATGTTACAAACTACTAAAAACAAAAACAAAAATAGACTCAAACCCTTAAGAAGGTTGTCACACCATCCATCATTAGGAAGAGCCACCCGGTTCACACAACACTCTACCTTTGGAAAGAACCGTGACATTAAGAAAATCAAAGGCTTATTAAAAACGTCCAAAACAAAACAAAAAGCTACGAACATAAATAAGAAGCTAAAAATGAAAATTAATTGCGGAAAATAGAATGAATATATACAATAGAGAGTTTGAATATACAACGGGGAATGAATATATACAATATGATGTAACTTTATATACAGACCCAAGGAAAGATAAAAAAAATACGATAAAAGTAACTAAATATAAAATTATATACAGACCAAATGAAAAATCAAGAAAGCATAATGTTATCAATATATATAGTCATCCATAAATGTGTAGGGCTTACCCCCTCAAATAAAAGCTGGCATTGTCCCCAATGCCAACTAGTCTAAATATGCACCAAAAACAAAAGAAAAAGGATATAGAAGACTCCCTAAGCCGTGTCTGTCTGCGTAGGATCATTTGTGGTCCCTGGGTCCACTATGTGCTCGGGAACCTTAGACTGGTTCCCGGTGGTCTGCTCTGCTTCTACTGGGACCTGGGCCTGGACCTCGACTGGATGTGGAACTGATACATCCTGTGGTTGACTGGAGGAAGCCTCCGGTGGGTCCGCCAACTGGATGATGGCATCATCTGCTCTAGGGATCTTCCTCCTCTTTGGAGGCCTCTAGGTCTGCTCCGGCTGTAGATGAGCTGCTGGGACTAGATCATCAAGTAACAAGTCCAAAGGCAGCTGGTCTGCCTTTATTCTATCTACATCTGCCCGCAGCTCCTTCACGGACTCCTTAGAGGCCCGTGTCTTTCTAAGCATCTTGTGCTCCCGAGCAAGCTCCTTGAGAGCTTTGCTGTGTGAATCAATTGCCTTGGTCAGTGTCACCTGAGTAGTGAGGATTTTCTTCTAGTTCTCAAGTATCTCTTTCAAAGCATCCTCTATCGACTGGGGCACCTGAGATGGCTGAGGTACCGGCTGAGCCTCTACAGTAGTAGTCAATGTGGACAACTTGGATGAGGCAGTCTACATCCAGTTGTTTATACTCAGCAAGGCCTAGCTCAGCCGGTGGGCAGTAATGGGATGGGCCCGAGTAGATGGGATCTCCGGGCCTGCTGATGTGGAAGGGGTAGGAGGAATGGATGAAGATGTGGAAGGTCCGGGAGGCATGTCAGCAGAAATGGAGGTAGGCTCAGCAGGGACCTCTACCACAACTGGCTTTTCAGACTGGCCAGTTGGGGTAGAAGCAGGGGCTTTGTAGTTCTTGTCCTTGGGGTTGTCATTCCCCTTCAAGCTGTACCAAGGAAAATGGGGCTGTCGCCTTGACCTTGATGTCATATGGCCTCGGCTCCACCTCTAGATCTGCGAAGTACTCAGTGAGGAAGCTGGGGAAAGGGTAGTTCCGGTCATGATCTACTCCCACAATGGTGATAACTCTCGACATCACATTCCCCACATTGATGGGGTACCCGGCCATAATAGAAGCAACCAAAACAGCCCGGTGGAGAGGAAGGGTCTGGTCATGAGTGGTCGGGCCCAACCGGCTGCAAACAAAGGTCTCCCAACCCATCGCCTCAAAGTTTAAGGTCCTCCGCAATATTTTGACCCCAACTATCAACCAATCAGGAATGGTACCTGGGATTTCCAGGTACTGAGCTAACCATGGACAGACCTCATCGCCCATCTCCATCTTCGCCATATATAGAGTCTCATCCTCCTCATCGAAGCCCAAGTATTCATTAATTGATTTCCCATCGAACAAAACTTTCAAATTACGAACCTTGGTCACTTTGGAGCCATTTTTGATGTGGGCTACATTACAATAAAACTCTTTGACCAAATGTTCGTTGGCGTCCACACAGTTATCTAAGAAGTGCTCCCAACCCACTCTAGTTCTGAACTGTCTCTGCATGTGTGGGGTTGTGGGGTAGTAGATCATTGTCAATGAAACTCCGCTTCGGTATCAACTTTCTCACCGGCCACCACTCCCAAAATTTGTGGTACGCCACCTCGCTCACGAACCTATCCTCCCTGACATTAGGTTTTCTTGTTCTGGTAATACCTCCCACCTGAGGCGCACCACCTCCAGCTGCCTCCTCATCTTCCTGTACCTCCTCCTCACCTTCGCCTGCACCCTCCCTTGATAATGAAGCTGTGGGGGAGGTGGAGTATTCACCAGTGCCTGCTGCTGAGCCCTCAGACGACTCAGTAGAAACATGCCCTGGTGGTTGGGCAGTAGGTGATGAGGGAGAGGTGTCTCTATGTCTGGCCCTCTCCGAATACAAGATGTATTCTGGGACTGAGTCCAAAGAAATCTCCCGAGAGGGCTCGTACTCACTCCCCGACATGTCAATGGCTCTGTCAGCCGCTTTTATGGCCTTCCTCATGTTCTTTATGTTTTGATGAGCCTGGGGAGTGAGTTTAACCATTTTTTGTTTTCCACCCCGGGAAGATTCACCTCTTCTGGGTTGTTTTGACCCCTTGCCTCGTTGTTTAACCATTATCTGCAAACACAATCATCTAAGGTTGTTAGTATCAACAGAAGCAGTAGGAACATTGGTGTAGAAAGAATTGCAGAACAGACTTAAAATGTTATAGACAGGTTGCAGGAATTTCCCAGTGCGGACCGCACAAAATGGAGTGCGGCCGCACAGGGGACAGTGCATCCCGCACAAAAACTACTGCGGTCCGCATTGGGATGGGGTTCAGACTACCCATCCTCTGAATCTGACCAGTGCGGTCCGCACAAAATGGTATCGCGGCCGCACTGGGCCAGTGCGGACCGCACAAAGTGTAGTGCGGCCGCATTTCACAAGAGTTATCTTTCAGAAGTTCATCAGTACGGTCCGCACAAAATGGCATTGCGGACCGCACTAGGGCACTGCGGAATGCACAAAAACGACCACGGTCCGCACTACGTGCCCAGATTTGGCACTGAGTTAGGGTTCATCAGATTTGCTTTTAAGTCCAAATTTGTCTCTAATGTATGTCCCTACATGTTTACCCAGTCCAGTACACTAACTAAGTATATAAGAATCAAAAATCTAACTACCCTAACCTAACAAATTAAGCCATTACGGGAGAAGGAAGAAATAAAACTAAGAAAAAAATGAAAATTAAATGCAAGTGACAAAATTAAACAAGTAAAGAGGAAGATTAAAGTACCAGATTGTGAGGTGAATTGAATCAAATGAGTTTCAACAAGTAACTACGTGCAAGTGAGAAGATGAACAATGTTTAATTTCTCAGAGGTTTCAAATTTGCGAAAAGGGTAACAGGGGGTCCTCAGGCTCTATTTATAGAAAAGCCCCTGGGGCCCAGCCTCACCTACCAGTGCGGACCGCACAAAATGGACCGCGGTCCGCACTGCCTTATTTAGCACAAGTTTGAGCAGGCAACCTTCTGCGGTCCGCACAAAACTAACTGCGGCCGTAGAGGTCCACTGCTGACCGCACAAAATGTAGTGCGGCCACGGTGGCAAACTTCAGAGAAGCTTCATCTTACCCACACCAATGCGGTCCACACAGAATGTACTACGGCCGCACTGGAAACTTCAGAGACCTGTGCATTTTTTCCATCATACCTTACACTGCCTCAACACAATCCTGCAACATGTCACAATCAATTAGCCCAAAAATCAATCCTATACTACATAGAAAATCAAAGAAAATGACAAGAAGAAAAGGACATGGGTTGCCTCCCAAGAAGCGCCTGATTTAATGTCGCGACATGATGCATGTTACCACCACATCACTTGAGATGAAGGAGCGCCACCATGTGGTTGTCATCAAACTTTCCAAGAGAATGCTTGACCCGGTGCCCATTAACTCTAAAGACTTCACCATTTTTGTTTTTCAATTCAAGAGCACCAAAAGGGGTCACAAACATAACTTCAAACGGTCCACTCCATTTGGATTTAAGATTTCCCGAAAATAGACGTAACTGGGAGTTGAACAAGAGAACCAAATCACCTACTGTGAACTCCTTTCCACGAATATATTTTTCATGAAGGTACTTCATCTTGTCCTTATATAAGGACGAACAGGAGTAGGCATGGAATCTAAATTCATCGAGTTCATTGAGTTGTTCAACACGAAGATTAGCTGCAACATCCCATTCAAGATTCAACTTCCTCAAAGCCCACATGGCTTTGTGCTCTAACTCAACCGAAAGATGGCATGCTTTCCCAAACACCAACCGATACGGAGACATCCCAATCGGAGTTTTGTAAGCCGTTCGATAAGCGCATAGAGCGTCATCCAACTTCTTCGACCAATCGGTCCTATTTACATTGACCGTCTTTGACAAGATACTCTTGATTTCTCTATTGGATACTTCCACTTGACCACTAGCTTGAGGATGATAAGGGATCGAAACCTTATGATTGACACCGTACTTGGAAAGCAACGTGTCGAAAGCTTTATTGCAAAAGTGAGACCCCCATCACTAATAATCTCACGAGGAGTGCCAAACCTTGTGAAAATGCTCTTTTAAAGAAATGCAACAACACTCCGGGCTTCATTGTTAGGCAAAGCCACGGCTTCAACCCATTTTGAGACATAGTCAACCGCCGTGAGAATGTAAGTATTCCACAAGAGCTAATAAATGGACCCATGAAATCGAAACATCAAAGATATCCACTTCAAGAATGGTATTGAGAGGAATCTCATCCCTTTTTGAAATTCCACCCGCTCTTTGGCAATCGTCACACCTCTTCACAAAATCA